AGGCTTCGGGCACCGTGAGTGCGGGCCGGGGCGCGGAGGGCACGGCCGGCACCGCGGCCGGGGCCGACACTGAGGCGGCCGTGGGCAGGGCAGCGGCGCCGGGTTGCGGCGCTCCAGAGCGACGCGTGCCTGCCCGTGCGGCGCTGCCCGGCCCGTGAGGAGGCGCGCGGCCCAACATGGCGGCGGCGCCGCTCCCGCCCGGCGCGGGCCCGGATCGGCGGCGGCTCCGCGGGCGGATCCGCGGGGAGATCCGCCCGCACGGCGCGGCGGGCTCTCTGTGCCCCTGGATTGAGCTGTTCTCGCCCCGCTGTTCTTCTGTAGAGCCGCCGATCCCGCCGCGGGGTCGGCGCAGGGCGGGCGGGGTGCGGCGGGCGCAGTGGTGGCTCCGCGGCTCACTCATTCTGCGGGCCGCCTGTGTTTCGTGTCCCTCTAGCTGCGGGAGTACAAAGTGGTCGGGCGGTGCCTGCCCACACCGAAATGCACGACTCCTCCTCTGTACCGCATGCGGATCTTTGCTCCGAACCATGTCGTCGCCAAGTCCCGGTTCTGGTACTTCGTCTCTCAGCTGAAGAAGATGAAGAAGTCTTCTGGAGAGATTGTGTACTGTGGCCAGGTGCGTGATTAAAAGCCTAAAAATGTGGGAGGTTCTTAAGGAATTCTGGGTGGTGTATGTGAAAGGAATTTACAGGAATTGCTGTTATTGGGGTGAGACTGAAATACACTTCGCCTTCAGTTCCTGTGAAAAGGAGTAACACATCCGTTTTTTTGAAAGTGGTGGTAAACTAAATAGGTATTTTCCAACACTTCAGAATTATGAACCATGTCACTAGTCAGTGCTGCTGTCTTGGATTTGCTTTGCTTCGCTTCATTGGGCAGCATACCTTTTAAGAGACATCTGGACATTCATAATAGTGGGAGAGTGGACGTTTGTATGCTTGTTCTTCTCTGCCTTGGTTGTTCCTGCTTCAAGAGCATTTTTTAAAGCTGAAGTCTTGTATTTTTCTTTCCATGATGAATTAGTAAAACTACAGTCTGAATTGCCCAGACATAAATCCAGTTATGATGTTAAAGGGAAAGAGAGCAAAGTGTTGGTTTTGACAGTAGAACTTAAAACAGTGATTTTGTAAGAGCTCTAAAATATTTATTCTTAAAACTCTAAAGTGGTGATAAAGCTTTGTCTCTAACCACTTTCACGCTCTTCTGTTATTCCAGGTATATGAGAAGTCCCCTCTGCGGGTAAAAAATTTTGGTATCTGGTTGCGCTATGATTCTCGTAGTGGAACCCACAACATGTACAGGGAGTACAGAGATTTGACCACGGCTGGTGCTGTCACTCAGTGCTGTAAGTATCTGTAAATGAGGTATAAAACGATAGCATCAATATATAATAGAAGATTAAATCTCAAACTGAGCATAAAGCGTGCTTAGTCCATGATAAGATAACTAAAAACTCTAGAAAAATAAAGTAGGGGCTTGCCAAAAAAATCTGTAGTTGTTAAAGTATGTATATGTGGAATCTTATTTGTTACTAGTCTTTATACAGTTTCACTGACTTAAAATATTCCCACTTCATCGTGGTGGGACTTTCTACAATTCTAGTAATGAGTTTTACCATACAAACTGAGAGTTAACGATCTTTTAAGTGCTACATGTATTTCTTGCACTATATGTATTGTTTTATGACAATCGAATATATATATTGCCAAGTCTTGTGGAAAGAATATTTCAGATTTCATGTGGAACGTACTAGCGTCAATCCTGTGGAGAGCAAGTAAATTAAAAAAAAATCACAGGAAAAAAATCTGTAATCTTTGTTACTCCAAGATCTCATTGTCTCAGTTCAGGGAGAGTTAAAGGTTGACCTGATTTCAGTCTGTTTTGTGAAGTACTTGAGGGATGGACCATTTCTATAGCTGATGCTGTTGATATTTTACTACACAGCGTTATAAACACAACAGAATGCACATAAAAACCCAAAGAATATTGTTCTTAATAATGATATTCTTGTCATGTGTGCAAATATTAAATGTATCTTGTCGCCTTTCAAAAGCTGAAGTGCTGTTGAAAGTGAAATTTAAGGTTCTACATTACTTTACAATGATCCCTGTTATTTAACACACCGAAGGACTGCTTAAGAGACCAGGAAACTTATGTATTATGATACAGTGACTGATACTTATATGTTCAAGAATACCTATGGCAGGTAAGTTTTTCATAGGTATGTTAGGTCTTCATGGGAAATGTTGTAAGCACAATAGTATTTCAATAGGCATATCTTGTGGAAGTAGCTATGGACATCTTGATTTGAAGGCAGTGATTTGCACTGCTGCAGGGAGGAATTTTCAGGTAGCCCTTGCACAGATGGCTGCCTCCCGTTCTGAAAGCCTAAGCATGTGAGCTGAATATCAGTTTCTATCACTGGTCAGTTTCAAGAAAAGTCAAGATATCCTCAGGTCTTAACTTTACTCGCACCTTTCAGTAATGATACTTCAGTTTTGACTGTGAATCAGAGAGACTTTTTTTTGTGCAAAAAATTAAATAGTCCCACCTATATTTCTTCTGTACATGTGTGCCTTCTTGAAATAAGGCAAGAGTAATAAAATAGCACTTTCTGTCTGGGAGGAGTTTGGTAATGAGTTACTGGAAGAATTTGCTGCTGCTCGTTGGTTCCGTGATATTTGTACCATCACTTTACATACTAAATCCAGTATGATTTTAACTAAAGTTGATCTGAATTTTAGAAAGTCATAGGTGGCATTATGAACATTTCCTGAAGAGGCATTTGTAAGATTTTTGAACTAAAAATGTCCTTAAGATTCATTTTTTAATGAGTTCTCTTGTATCAGACCGTGATATGGGAGCCCGTCACCGTGCCCGTGCTCACTCTATTCAGATCATGAAGGTTGAGGAAATTGCTGCCAGCAAGTGCCGCAGACCAGCCGTCAAGCAGTTCCATGTAAGTGAACCAGCACTGCCGTGGCTGGTGGGTCCTGGTCTGACACTGGACTGGAAGAGGGGAGCTATCTTGTCTGGTACATGTTTGCTTTGCAGACAGAAATAGGGAGGGAACCAAACTGGTATGCAGAGCTTTACAATTACGATAAATTATGATCAAGGCTTCTAAAGCTAGAATTCTTTGGAAGAAAGTCACAATAAAGTGAATGCGTGTTACAGTGCAGAAAACATGCCTCTAATGGGCATTTCTTTAAAAAAATGCAAAATTTAGGCATTTCTCCTAAGGCCTATGAAGTATATCTAATTTGTGGATGCATTACTTCTCTGTAAGTTATTCATGGAATACGGCTTGGTTATTTATTGCAAACTGATTTCTTTTGTTTATCTAATACCTCAGTTAACATAGAACTATTTTTTCTTGCAGGATTCTAAAATCAAGTTCCCTCTGCCACACAGAGTTCTGCGTCGCCAGCACAAACCACGTTTCACCACCAAGAGACCAAATACTTTCTATTAAATACAAAAACATGCCATCAACTCTGTGTTGCAATAAAGGTCTTATTTGAACCTTTGACTCCCAGTTGTCTTTTGGAGACAGTGTCCTGACTCTGTAGAAATCTCCCCCCCTACTCTTTATTTTCTGTAAACCATTGGCAGCCTACTATTTACAGCTGTGATTGTCTTGAACAGGTGAATGTTTCACATGCTGATTTAAATTACCAAAATACCCCATCAATAAACCAAATTTTAATAAACAACATTCCGGGTAAGAGAAGTTTTACTGAGCAGCTGTACAACCCTACATGCATCTTGTCTCTTCGGCACACTGAATAAACAGTTGAATTCAGGAAGAAGGCAGCACACATTCTGGTGCGCGGAATTCAGACATGTCAACTTCAGTTAAGCTGCTTCAAATTTTAAGCGTTTAAAGCTAAAACTTTGGTTCTAACCTGAACCTTTTCAAGGATGTTACACACTGCTCAGAATTAAGTAAGCATACAGAGGTGCCTGGAAATGTGACAGAGGGCTTAGGCAGACTTACCTTTGTTATTAGATGACTGAAAACTAGGAAAATTAATTTTTAGATCCAACCCCAATCCTTAACGTGTAAAGCCACAGTAAAAAACTTGCAGGCGCTGTGTAGTTAATTAAGAAAGCTGTTTCACACCTAAAGCCAGCGTTTGCATCTGATGCCTGTTTTCAATGAAAATGTTTACTGAACAAGAGGCAGTCAGCTACTTAAGTTCATTCATGGATCTTTCCGTTGTTAAAGAATCGATACAGTGCTTTGGGTGCCAGCTTAGAAACCAAATGCTGGTGCCGATAGGGTGCAGGGAAGTGCTGTGCAGAGGGCAGCCTGGGAATGTTTTCATTCTGGGTTAGCTGGAGGGGAACTGTCCGTGTAAAGGCGTGTGGTTGTTCTGCAGAACTTGGACTCATCGGTGCTGCCACAGCAGCCCCCCTTTCACAGCGTCACGGTCCTCTGGCTCAGCTTTGCGCCTCTCATCACTTCCACAGGGAATCAGTTCAGGGAGCTCATCTGTCCAAAACATGAACTGGAAAAAACGGCATTAATTTGCCGCTACCTCCCAGGGAGGGGGAAACTATAAACTATAAACCCAAAGTAGCTGGAGGGTTCTGTGGGACTCAAAGGATGGGAATAAGGGCATCAGAAAGACGTTGGTTTTTGGAACGTTTCAACTGAAAGAACGATTTAACATGAAAACGAGCTTCAGAGTTAAGTGAAAGCACAAAACGTAACAGCCAGAGTGGAGGAGACCTCAGCAGGAACCAGCGCCGGTGTGTCCAGCCCGAAAATACCAACGTGCAGTACGGACGGGCGGACCTCTGGGGCTCCTGGGTCTCCCGCAGGCGGAGGGCTCTGGAATATCCCCGGACGCGCCGCTCCCGCTTTTGCCGCTGCCCCGCCCACCAGTACTGCGCGCGCCGCCCGGTCACGTGACCCAGCCCCGCCCACCGCCCGCCCCGCCTGTCACGTGCCGAGGGGCGGGCACGAGAGCGATTCCGCGCGCGCGGGGTCCGACCCCGGAAGTGGCGGCCGCTGCGGAGGCGCCGGGCGGGATGGGGGAGTCGATCCCGCTGGGAGCGCCCGTGCCGGTGGAGCAGGCCGTGCTGGAGACCTTCTTCTCCCACCTGGGCATCTTCTCCTACGACAAGGCCAAGGACAACGTGGAGAAGGAGCGGGAGGCCAACAAGAGCGCGGGGTCCAGCTGGCTGGCGCTGCTGGCCGGGCTGGCGCACCTGGCGGCGGCCGAGAAGGCCTATCACAGCATGACCTTCCTGGGACAGAAGCTAGGTACCGCTCCGGGGGAGCAGGGACTGGCTCCGCCGCCTCGGGCCGCGGCTCTCCCGCCCCGCCCCGGGTGCGGCTCCGCGAGGGGAGCGTGCGGTGTGAGGCCGTGTCAGCCCGTGGGTGCACAGCGCTGGGCACCTGGGGGATCTGAGGACTCTGCCTCGGCCTGGTGCGTGCCTGTGCCTCTGAAAGACAAGTGCCGGCTCAGCAAGTGTCCCTGGGCCCGGGGAGAAGTCGGCTGTGCTGTTTATGCTGCCGCTAAAGAATAAACAAGAGTGCAGGTGCAGTGCAGGTGGCACGGTGGCCCCTGTGCCAGTCGATGTAGCTCTTCGCTGGCCGGCAGGCTACCTACTTGCCCATCCCAAGATTTAGCCAGAGGTATTTCTGTGCTGAGAAGTTCTGGCTGAGATCTGGGCAAAGGTGAGATCAGTGAGGTGACGAAAGGCTTAAAGCTTGTATTAGATCTGCTTATGGGCAAGCACTTGGGGCTGGAGATAGCATCCTAAAAGTTGTTACCCGTGCAGACTCTGCAGGGTCTCAAGAAGCTTCGACCACAATCTTGGCTGCTTGTTGCTTTCTCAGTGCATGAATAGAAAAATTCCAAACCGGCACAGGATGAGCTGTCATCATGTTGCCCTCTGGTTACTCTTTGAATTGCAGACAAGCATGGAAAATGGATCAAGGGATATGGGTCTGATGTGTAACAGTAAAGCATCAGGAAAATTCTGCTTTGGTGTTTAAGTGGTGACTTGGAACTATTTTATAAGAAGGTCTTTACAGACAAAACTGTCTATAAGACTGACTTTAAAAAGTTAATTTGATGCTTACAGAACGGGTAAAATTGACAACAGAAGGGACAAAGTTTTGTTTGTTTATATACTTCACGAACAACTGCAATAGATGATTTTTCATCGTGCCCATGACACGAGGACTACTCATGGCTTAGGAAGGGAGCTGTTTTACAGTGATATCCAGTTCTCTGCCTTTCTACCTCAAATTGCTAAGGTCACCTTTGAGCGTTATATATGTAAAATGGATCCATCCTTAAAAAATTTATAAGCAGTTTCAATGTAGAACCTAAAACTGGAATCTTTTAAAAACTTCCACCAGCCCTGTGATCCTTGCTCTTCTGCAGCTGTTGAGTGCCACAGTGGCACATAAGGCCTTCTGTAAATAGAAGGTGTGAAATAAGGTTAGTACATTTGTGCAGTCTTTTGGTAGTGTAAAAGTTAAATATGCTTTACTTTGACCCTTTACTTCTATCTTTTTTCTTTTTAAAATTCCTCATAGTGTTGAGCAGGTAGAAAGAAGCACAGACAAGTTCTTTCCCCTTATCCCCCTCACCCCAGGTTTTAGTTATGGATTAACCTGCACTGTGGTCTCGCTGAGATAAAGTGTGACTGTTTTCCCTTTGAATTCTGGTTTATATTAAGACCATGTAGGGACTAGGAACATTTGGTTTGTACACACAAATGTCCCATGGCTCTGGCTTAAAGGTTGCTTTGCAAATTTGAGTGCTTCCTGATTGTAGAGGGGTTGCTAGGGGAATTATCCCCAAAAGATCTAGATGTAATTGATTCGATGGAGGCTATTAAAATTGGATCAGTCACATCATGATGACTTGATTCTTCTGACTCCCACAGATGACAGTACTTGAGGTCATGTATCATAGCAGCAAATTTAACTGAACCCTTGTTTTCTGAAAAGTCACACCATAACTGAGGGAGTTGAAGTTTTGCAGCAGTCATTGGGTGCTGAGATACAAACTGGACAAGAGTAGCTTGTGTGAAATTACATAAAGCGCTTCTGAGCATATGCCATGACAAAATACTGAATTTTGTGTCTTGGTTAAAAGAAATACTGTGATCAAACAACACTTAGGAACAGCTAGAGGAGAACAAGTGTGGTTATGTAGAATTTTCCAGTATTGCTGTTTGTCTTTGCTGTCCCTGGATTTTGGTAATACCTCCATATTTATCTGAACAGGTGGTCAGTCATTCTTCAGCCGAAAGGACTCCATCCGAACCATCTACACATCTCTGCATAATGAGCTGAAGAAGGTGGTGGCGACGGGTCACAATGCACTAGGAGGAACAGCTCCTCACTTGGAAGAGCTGCTTTCTCACCTGTCTGAACAGCTCTGTTTTTTTGTTCAGGCTCGGATGGAAATTGCTGACTTCTATGAAAAAATGTACACGCTCAGCACCCAAAAGTTCATTAACTCTGAGGAACTGGTAAACATTTTGGAATCCATCTTAAAGAAATACAGCTCAAGGTCAGTGCTTGTTTGCTGGCAGTACGTTCTCAGACCCGTGATCTGTAATAGCTGATGTTGAAGTTCAAAGCAAGCCTAAAGACTTTGCTGTCCTTTGACTGCTGAGCAGCACGGCCCCTTCACGAATGCATGTGTGAAGTCTGTGTTGGCCAGCAGCATCAGATGCATGAAGTTTCGAAATATGACTCCTCCAAAGAAGAAAAATAACAAAAGGAGAGTGTTTCTGCTCACGGTGTTGTAGGAGCCTTCCTCCCTATTCCTTAATACTCAGTATATTTGTTTTCAGCAGAGAGGAAAAGTGATTTTCATTTTATATAAGATGCAAGGCTTCTTGTGCTTTTTCTTTGGGAGGGGAGAGGAAACGAGTCTTAATTCCGTATGAACTTCAGTAAAAGTGACATATAAATAAAACAAGATACTTGTGTGACAGTTTTACTTTTTAGGCTAGAATGTATGTCTACTTAATTCTAAAAGCTTCACCATAGCTATCTGGCCTACCTGGAAGGGTTTTTTGGGGCTCTGTGAACCACTTCTCTTGAGATGTCTTGGAGCCAGTAGAAGAAGCACCTCTGAGCCTTCAATCCCATTATTCTGTGTTGAAGTTAGGATCTAACAGTTCCTGTTAAAAGAATCCCAGAATGTTTCTAACTTATGCTGGGGTGGGTACTGCACATCTGAAATATGTGAGCCTTGAAAGTGAAGGCAGTTTCAAAAAGAGAGAATTTTTGAATGCTTGTCAACACACTGAAATTCTACCCCTTCATTTTAAACCAAACCAAATCTTCGTTAGTGAGATAGTGTCTAAGAAGATGTTTGGGGAGAATATTCTTAGGTCTTACTTTTTTTTTGGTTATGATAAATCTTCGCCTAGGAAAAATCAAAATGATTCAGGGCTGCTTTCTCATATTCCCGATTTAAACACTGCAGGTGACTTCTTTTTTTTTTTAGGAATAACCTTAGAAAATTGCTACGTAATTTTGCAATTTGAAAATCAAAACTAGTCTAATATGGTCTTACTAGTGATGTTTTGCAGTTCTTGGCTTCTGAACCCTTACAAAGGGTCAGGGCTGTTAGTACAATAAAAAGCGGGAACTTACATGTATTTTCTTTAGTGTGATAAACATGAAGGAGGAAAGGGAAGTATGCAGGGAGGGGGGTTGAAAAGCTGATTTGTGTTGTACACAAACCATTGCCATCTGTTCTGAGCCTGTGCTGAATCAACAGCACAGTTAAAAGTCTGAAAATCAAAACTCATACTTTGATGAATTGATTGGAAATTGTTGGATACAAATTGTTTTACTATCCTATTTAAATAAATTTCAGTGACACCTCTGTACTTCTAAGGCATTGTTATATAATGTGTTTATATAACATACATTATATAATTATATGTATAATAACATCTTTCAAAAAATAAGTAGTGTCTCCCTGGGAAAAATACTGATGTTTTTGCTTTGGGTTAATGAGCAGTTCTAAGATGGAGACAATATAAGATGCTGTTAGAGCTGATTCAGTAGCTGCAGTGTGGTCCTCCCCAGTCACATAGTGAATATTTCTGAAAAAAAGTGGGCATAATGATATCTTCCTTTTGTCCTTTCTTTCGGTTTCTTCATATGTCAGATCAGTTTCTGGGAACTGTTCTGTTGATGTGTACTGGCTGGAAGGCATTTCTGATTTACAGTCTGTTGACCCTCTCAGGTGAAAGGTCAAATAAACTCATTACCCAATCTCTTTCCTCTGTCAGTATATTCCTCACTTGTCGTTGAGGATGTGTGCCATTATTTCAGCCCGCTGTGCTAAGGCCAGACAGGGCCTGTGTTTTCTAGATAAGTTCTGGTTTCAGTTTCTTTCCTTTGCATGTGAAAATAGCTGTTCAGATGGTGTAGATAAAATGCTTGCTGGTAAAGAAACGGCTGAATTAATTGACTGTTAACAAGTCATATTGTCTGTAGAAAAATCATTAGTTATTGAGTAGTCTAAAGGTATTTTGTTACTACTTTTTTTGTTACTACTTATTGCTGACTTGTACACAGCCAATACTAGACATTTTCCTTTCCATTTCTCTTTAGAATACAACCAGAGAAGTAACTTTTCCTGACATTTTTGACTGTTGGTTTGGGTGGGATCTTAACTGAAATAATTGAAACAGTGTCAGAGCAGGTTCCTTTAAAAGCTTAGTATAAAATGAGTAAGTAACCAGAAAACCCATTTTGATGTAATCCTTTTTAAGTGTTGAATGTTCCTCATCCAGTCAACATTTTGTAAATACATGCATGAATGTGTGATATAGTGTGACTTCTTCATAGTCTGCAAAACAAAACTCTACCATCCCTCCACTCTGAAGAATGATTAGGGGGGGAAAACATTTCCCAGTGTCTTTTTAAGTTTTTAGCACTCTGACTTATTAAAATATCATAAAAACATGTCTGTTTTGCATGATACTGGGCTCAGATGCTTCTGTGTTACGAAACTCAATTTTATATCAGCAGATACAGTTAGTACATAACTTGTTAGCTTACTTTGCAACCATATTAGCATACTCTGCAAGCTTCTCAGCTGTGGCTGAGGTGTGTATTTGTTGATTAAAACAGTTTAGCAAATCCTGCTGTGAAGTGAAACATTAGGAAAGCCATGAAGCAAAGTAGAAATGGGAAGCTGTACATCATAATTTTAATCAAGAAGACTTTAGCAGTACTGCCTTAGTTTAGATTTTTAAACTACTTTTAAGATTGAAGAAAAGCCTTCTTGATCTGACTGCAGGTGTGTTGAAACCACTGTGATGGGACTGTCTGGAACAAATAACCTTGTATAATGCTTTTTTACAGTCTTCATAATACACAGCAACAAAATTATTTTATTTGGTGAATACCAAAACCATTGGAGATCTTTAGTGTTGACTGTTATCAGAATGTTATTTTTAATTGACTCTTGTTCAGTTTCTCAAAGAAATGTAAATATGCTCTAGCCTTCTCAGAGAGGCCAGTGAGCACTTATCTCTGCTCTAGCAGGTTGATCTGATGGTTGCTGGTATTGTGTACAGAAGGTGACCTGTTTGCACAACGTGGTGCATCTGCTGGTTTATGATATTCATATTTCATTCTCTTCAAATGAATTTGGACTTGTATCTTGATAACAAATCCTTTCAAGACTCAAATTGTGGCTTTCAAAAAAAGAGCTGCTTAAAAATAGTGACAGAATTGTCAGACAGTTTTCACAAGCCTAAGAATTAATGTTTTGACAAGAACCTGATAGAAAATCAGATATAAAATAGTGAAGGATGAGGGTAAGAAAAGCATAAAATTTTCATTATCTCTTCTGCTCCACAATAAAATGAAATGTTTTGGTTTTGAACCAACTATGTCCAAAATGGGTTGTATATACTGTGTCTGAAAGGAAGCTGAAGGGAATAATGGCGTTGCTTTAGCTTTGTCTGAAGAGGAGCTGTTAAAAGTTGGAAAAAATCAATGTGAACTTTTTTGTTTTAAGCCAATAATAAGACCCAAGATATTTTTCTGAAGTGAGAGGATAAATCTATCTTTACTTAAATGGAAACCTCATCAAGTCTTATCTTTGAACTATTGGTTGTTCTTTGTTGAAGACCTCTTTAAGTATCCTAAATGCTAATGAGGGAACACATTTATTAAAAAGGCCACTTTTGTCTTTGCTGAAGGCATGTTCTTCTAAAGTTACATATCTTACATTACAGTTTTTCAGTTTCAATTAAGTATGTTATTATCAATGATGTTATAAATTCACAAGTAATGTGAGTATCATGGGAAGAGAGGTAGGCTGCATCTGTTTTCTTTTTCCCCTGATGTTTAGAAAAAATAAAATGAGAAGAGAAAGCTGTAGAATGGATTTTTAAAATTCCATTTCTTCAAGATTTGTTCTAATAGCAGGATTGGTCTTATGAATAAGATGTGCATTGAGTTGTTGGTTTTGTTTGGGGTTTTTTTAAACATCTTTTAAATTGAGAGCTGATTTTTTACCTGAGTTTTTGATAAGTTAAATTGGTTTTTATACTATCTTTATTGTGATAGGATAAAATCCTGTCAAATGTTTTTTCTGCTCATTGCTTTTAGTACACCAAAAAAAAAAAACCACGTCAACTTGGCTTCCTCATAGCTTTCCTATACAAGCAACAAATTTATAACATAATTCCCGTGATTAATTTAACATCTTTCTGTTATTCCAGAAGTATCAAGACATATTTTATTGCAAGAAGGGATTTAAAGTTGGAAAAAGACCACCTGGATTTAAAGAAAAATGGTGTTATAGTAGTTAATGGATCAAGATAAACAATGATTGTTCTTGAAATGATGAAATGTAACTCCCTTGCTTTGATAGAGAAATGTCTGATGGCTGTTTTTTCTCAAATGTGAAGTGCTGTTTGTTCCTGAAAATATTTACCCTAATTATGTAAAAAGAACTTTTTTTTTAAAATTAACAATTATTATTTAGTTTACACTTTGCTCTGCTTTCGTGTTTTATCTTCTGTCTGTTAACTGGCAAATGCTATCTGATTATTTCACTGTTGTGTACAGCAGTTCTCATGTCTTGACTAAAATTATGTTTTCTAGATTTCATCATCCAATCCTCAGTCCTCTTGAAAGCAGTTTCCAACTGGAAGTAGATGTACTTGCACATCTCTTAAAGGCTCAGGCTCAGATCTCAGAGTGGAAGTTCCTTCCATCCCTGGTCAACTTGCACAGTGCTCACACAAAACTACAGACTTGGGGTCAAATTTTTGAGAAACAGCGAGAGACCAAGAAGCACCTGTTTGGAGGGCAGTCTCAGAAGGCTGTACAACCTCCACACCTTTTCCTCTGGCTGATGAAACTCAAAAACATTCTCCTTGCCAAGTTTAGCTTTTACTTTCACGAAGCCCTTAGTCGACAGACAACAGCATCTGAAATGAAAACTTTGACTGCTAAAACAAATCCTGATTACTTTGGGAAAATTTCCAGCTTCATCCGGAAGTATGATGCCGTTAACGTTTCCTTAATTTTTGACAATCGTGGATCAGAGAGTTTCCAGGGACATGGTTATCACCATCCCCACTCGTACAGGGAAGCCCCCAAAGGAGTGGATCAGTACCCTGCAGTGGTGTCTCTGCCCAGTGACAGGCCTGTTATGCACTGGCCCAATGTGATCATGATTATGACTGATAGAACCTCTGACCTCAACAGCTTGGAGAAGGTTGTTCACTTCTATGATGACAAAGTCCAAAGCACATACTTTCTGACTCGCCCTGAACCTCACTTTACCATTGTAGTTATTTTTGAGTCCAAGAAGTCAGAAAGGGACTATCATTTTATTTCTTTTCTCAATGAAATTTCACATTCCCTTAAGAACTCCAAAGCTTTTGCAAGCTTGAAGCCTGGATCCAAAGGGTGAAATACAGACTATTTACAAGCTGTCACGGCAGTATGTCAGCCTTGAGGGAGCTGTAGCTTGCAAGAGTTACATAAATTCGTGATTCTCAGAGTCTAATTGAAAAGGAACCTTTTTTTTAATGTTATAAGTTCCTTTCTTTTAAGCTAACAGACACTTGAAAATTATTTTTGGGCAGTACTCAGTGGGGCAATTTAATTGTGGGGTGCTAAATAGCCACGGTGGGATTTTTTTGGTGTGGTTTTCAATATTCAGTATGACTTATTTTTTCAGTCCACAATTTTGTTGCCTGTATCAGAAAGGAATATATGCACTTTATCTTAGTCTGATCATTGACTGTCTTCTACAGAGTTTATTGAAAATGTGATAAGGATGTATCTTTTCAGAAAACTGCATTGCCTGAAAGGAATGATTTCTGGGAACTAAATGCTGATGCAAGGGAATATTAGAAAAAGTGAACCTGCAAGGATACATTTTAAATAAAAATATGAGAATCAGGAAAAACACTATTGTTAATTATAATTTAGTTTTCAAAGGGTTTAAAATGATAATCGAGGTCTCTGACACTCTCTCATAAGCACCAGTCTCAATTCTAAATGCCCTGTGTCACAAAAGTCAGTCGTTGCTCCAGAACTGGGGCTGGGGCAAGAAGAACTGCAGCATGGGCTGGAAGGCCAGTATTCACAGGAGCACTGTGACAGTGTGGGTCCAGTAATAGTCTTGGCTCAGACTAACTGAAGGAGACAAGCTGAAGTTGTGCAGCTGTTCTAGAAGGAACAGCTCCATGGAGAAAGCAGCAAAGCTGTTTTCAAATTGTGCTTTTGTCTGACTAACTTGAAAGAGAAGCAAAGAAAGGCAGCAGGAAATGCCCTTTGTAAATGATTTATTTTCTAGTTTGCTGCTCATCTCAACCTGGCTTTGTTTTCACATTTTCTAAGTGTATAGTTTTTTCAATCTGTTCAGTTTTAAATAATTTAATAATTAAGCCAAAACACTGGGGATTTGGATTTAAATATATAGCCTATGCAGTATGTTTACCTCATTCTAAAATGTCTCCTTCACCACTTCTAGACTGCAGGTTTGGAAAAAGTATGTTTTCTAGTTACCCTGAAAGTGCTTTAATTTGGAAATCAGTGTTTCCAAATACAATAAAAGGGTCAATTTGGCTGTACCTGCAGCCTTTCATTGCAGGGTTCTTCTGACTGTTAGCTATGCAGCTGTGCACACGCTTTTGTGGGGATTCGGGAGGACTTATATACATATGAAATTGTAGTAAAATTAAGTCATTAGTAAGGTATAACATCAGGTTTAATTTAAAAGGGAGCTTAGGTCAAAATGCTGGTTTCTGTTAAGACTGAAATATGAAAGGTACCATTGCAAACGTGTCTTTTAATGATCCCCTTTCTCTTCCACTAAAGGTTCTGGTAACTTGTCTTGCCTGGCTGCAGTGCTGACTTTTTAACAGTCATATAAGCACATTCTGTTCTCAGAATACAAGCTCTGACTTGCCACTTTGTGCCAAATGGAGCCTTCCATGCTTTGCTCTAACTGTTGTGAATATCTGCTCTATTGCCTTTCACCTGAAGTCTCGGTCTGACTTCAGCATCACTCTCAAAAGCTCAGTTTGCTCTTTGCCATTGGAAAATAACCAGAGTTGCAAATACACCAGAAACCGAGGGGTACCTGTTTGTCACAGCGTTACACTTTGCAGCTTGAACTGCTTTTAACAGGACAACGTTGCAAATTACAGTATTGAGAGAGTTTGAGTGCTTCCCTCCCTGGGACAGTGACCTTGTAATAACATTGTAATTTTGACTTCCTCAGTCTGAGTAACAAGAGACTGTTGCCAGAACTGATTGGCAGTCTTCAGCAGTGTAATAAAGTGTTCTACAAAGTCTGTCTGCCTGTACAGTATTTCCCTGGCATACTAACTATCTGTGGAAAAGGGGAGAGAAAACAGGAAAGAGACTGTGCGTGGTACAGACACCCTCTTGCTCATTTCTGAGTTGCAGGGGATGAGTTGGAAGAAGTGAAAGAGAAATCTGGTGCCCTTTGGAGCAGCTTTTAGCTATTGTTGAAATGACTAGAGGCTGTTCCCAGTGGTTTTGATGGGGAGAGGAAAAGGAGGTGACTGTTCAACAGACTTGGTAGCTCACTTCTCATGCTCCTGCCACTGTGTTTGGCAAGTGGTGTCTCAGAACAGGGAAGGGATGTTAGGTGATGTTTCTGTGCAGGAGGAGGTGAGACTTGCTTTGCCTCTTATCAGTTCTAAGATGGTTTGTTGCAGTTTTCTTCACAGAATCTTGGAGAAGCAGCCAGAGGGGCCTTCTGACTCATGAGTAAGAATTTCTGAATATTTTGGTTGATGAAGAACCAAAAGGAGGCATAACCATTACCCTCATGGTGTGGGAAGGGAGGGAATGGGAGAGATGTGCAGGCAGTGGAGAGAATTGGGTGCTGGAGAAACTTTTGTGGAGCTGTCTGGGTCTCAAAGTCCTGTCCTTTGTTAAGATCTCAGCCTTAAAATAATACAAGATGGGGAGCAGAAAACTGAGACTTCAGGAAGTAGCTTAGATGAAAACAGGTGAAGCTGAAGAGAGGTGACACTAGAATCAGTATCAGCTAGTTTTGCAGAGTTGAGGTGTGCTATACCAAAAACTCTGTGTGCTGTGTGTGTGATTAATGAAGATAGATTTGTCAGACCCGTGAAATCTTCTGGCGCAGTTCTTATTTGTTGCTTTGAGGGGTTTGTTTTAAATTACAAGTGAGGTAATTGAGAGACTGAGTTGGCTTCAAACTGAAAGAGGGGAAATTTAGGTTAGATATATGAAAGAAATTCTTTGCTGTGAGGGTGGTGAGGCACTGGAACAGGTTGCCCAGAGAAGCTATGGATACCATACTTGAACTGGTGTTCAAGAGCAGGTTGGATGGAGGTTTGAGCAACCTGTTCTAGATCAAGGTGTCCCTGAACATGTCTGTGGAGTAAGTAAAGGAACCAGAAACTCAGTAACTGGAAAAAAAATACATTCATTACTGACTTCAGTACTGGAAAGACTGATCAGTCTCTTTACTGTAAGAACTGGAAAACAAATACACTTTTGCTGAACTGTGTGATATCCTGTCTGTCAGCTTTTCCTCTGCACCAGTGTAGCTAAGCAAGATGAGATGTACTAATGTGCTTTAAAAGTCTTGTATAAATTACTGCTTCAAATGCAAGATATAAAGATACTTGTGATGGTGTACTGAAAGCCATCACTCCCAGATGTATGTAAGCGTTTTGAAACAGGTATTGAGATTTGATATTGCAAGTGCCAGTCAGATTGCTTATAATAGCAGTGTGGAAGCTTATCTTGCAGTAAATTGCATGTACCTCATCACTTACTTCAGTCCATGAGGATTTTGGCAGAATATTTAATTCAGTATCCTTTTGCCTGCAGTGTGGTTTTTGACAGCAAATGTATTCTAAGAACTCTTAGGTGTTTTATATTTATGTCTTGTAAGCTGTTTTCTTCAACATGTGGTGTTCAGGTTTTTTTCTTGAATAAAATATCTTTCCTTTTCTCCTGCCTTTGCACGAAGAGAGTGCAGGGAATGGAGACTATTAATATATTTTGTATTGTGCTGCAAAGGACTGCAATATATGCATAATGTACATAATATTCAGGTTTTAATGATCTAAAAGTAATGTAAGTTCCTGGTGCCTATTTGAATACTAACACTTATGGTTTATCTAATTGACTTAAAAAAAAAAAAAAAGCTGCTTTAGAGCTGGAAGCAATTTTCTGGCACTCACATAGTTAATTATCGCTCTGGCGTGCTCTTCATAACAAACATATTGAAACATTCGTGATCATTCTGGTGGTAGTTCTTTGACGTCATTTATCTGAGTATTCCTTGTGTACATGCCGTAGGTCAGTCTGCTGCAGCCTTGTACTGCACTGGATTCTGATCTTCTCATAACCAAGATTTGCTTAAGAAAATCAGCAGTGTGCTATATTTCATTTCTCAAGTCCTGTTTTTTGGCCCAGTGCCTACAACCCCAGTAAGCACAGCTTGGCTGGTCCTGGGCTTGTGGTTCGCTTTGTGGTTGCTTCCAAAAGTGCTGGCACTAAGCTTAACTGACTGGAAAATTTGGTGTTTCTGCCCTGTTTTCTCCTTAAGTCCTGTTTTCAGACTCTCAGAGATGTCAGCCAGCCCTGCTGAGGTGGGTGCAGCTGAGGCCAAGCACTGCTTATTTACTGGGGCTCTGCCTGAGCGGTCAGTGTCCTGCCCGCTGGGGACAGTGGCTGTGTGGCTCAGCAGGGATGGCCTTCGGGCTGCAGCTGTGCAAAGGCAGGAGCCATTATGAGAAGAGCAGGAGAGGCTCTGGAAATGAGAATGCTGACAAAGGACAGCAATAGCTTAATGCTTTGCAGAGCAGGCAGAAACAATATAGAAGTCAAATGCAAGATGGAATTGGACTTTGATTTCCTGTTAGGAAAGGACTGATTTAAAGATTAAGTCTCCTTTGGAGGATAAAGGTATCAGATTTTTGCCATGAAATTACTTTAGGTACTCAATCTGATTATTTTCCTCCAGGACCTGCCTCTTTCCCTCTCCTGTGCATGAATGCATTCAACATATTGCCTGACTTATTTTTGCAATTGTTATGGGGCTTTTCTGGGAGAGTTTGCAGGCCTGAGTTCGGTTCTCTCCTAACTTTCAATGTGGCATAGCAGCTGCTGGGTTTGTGGTAGAGTAACAAAGTTCTCCACCTTGTAGCTGGGAGCTGGCTGTGCCCTGGCCGCACGTGGCAGCCTGAGAAGAGCAAAATGGGGAGGAGACAAGTCATTACAAGATGGGCTGGAGTGGGTGACAGCTCTGGGACAGACAGACAAGGAGAAACCAGATGCTGAAGGACTGCATTGCAGATGGACTGTGAGCAGGTTTTTGCTTGCCCCTGTGTTGTAGCCTAATTTCACAAGAATCTGTATAAATTTTATGTCCTGGAAAAGCTGTGCTAGACCCCACCTGCAGTTGCAGCTGCTTGTTTTAATGTGACTTCTTTGCAATAACTATAGTGTTTCCAGGATGGTGGTGTTTAATCTCTAGGTACCAACAATCTTGGCAAAATGGCCGTTTTTGGGCAGGTGATTAAGACAACCTTTGTGGTATCGCACTGTTAGATGGGATGTGCTGGTGCCGTGCTATAAGCTGACATCGGAAGCTTCAGAGCAGTGCAGTGTTGTACTTTATTTGTGCAACTCATTGCTGATAAGATAGAATATTTAGTGGCACTAAACCTTTGACTCTGTGGTGTATGCTTCATTTGCTACAAAGCTACTGAGAGGATTTTTAGTGTGTAAAAGTTGAATTCTTCAGATCAGAGCCATAAAGAGCCAACATTGCCATGTGTTGTGCACTGGGATGCACAACACAGAACCAAGAATTGTAAATTTTCTGTGGGAAGGATGACGTGAACTTTGGCAAAATGAGGGCCAGTGAGAGATGCTAAGGGAGACTGGAGGTGTCTAATTCCCAGCCTTTGAGTTTTTGTCTTAGAGTTAGTCCTCTCTGGGAACACAAGCAGAGGGCGTTGTCTCCTGTAGTACAGAATGGCCTGACGGTCTCATAAGCATTTACTTAGTAAAATGTCATACCCAAGTTCAATGTTGTCTTTGACCAGAGGATTCCAAGTCAACTTCTCATTCTCCTCTGTGGTTGTGCAGATGTTCAGCAGACCCTCCAAGTATTTCCCCTGCTTTCTCAGGTGAGGAGCAAACTTCCTCTCCCTGGATCATTCTCTTGGCAAATGGGGGGTGAGAAGTTCAGTTGTCTGAAGAGGAGAGACTCATCTGCGCTGTGGGTGGGTGCAATCATCACTGTGTGAGCAGTGAACAGTAACAAAAGGACCACCCTACTTTCAGGAGGATCAAGGGTAGCGTCTGCAGCCTGGAGTTGCACATCCTCCCAGTGCACTTGGGTCTGGTTCTTCAGGGACTGGTAGTGATGCTTCACCAAGGACTGCCTGTGACTGCCTGAGGCCTCCATATCACCTAGAGGTAAAACTCCAGGAATGTACAAGGCTTAAAGAATGAAAACTTGGGTTATGGTACCATGCATTTTATGTGAGGGATCAACATGAGACTTGTAGCTGATGCTGCTTTTGCCTCCAGCAGTACAGCTGGCTCACGTCCCCACTCTGAGAGATGCCAGCTCTTGTCAGTGGGAATGGGGTGGGGGGGTGGGAGCACTAACAGGTTTAGCCTTCTGCTTTTAATCTGATGATGCAAATCTGTCCAAACTGTTCAAAAAAGTTGGTGGATTAATTCCCATTCTAGATGTAGAGCTTGACTCTGAGTAAAGTGCCTGGAGCTCTGCTGAAGGCAAGATGTGTAAGCTGCATAAAAGCTATCTTTCCCTTTTCTTCATGCATCCCTGTCCAGAGAGAGAAAGAACAAATTACTTTGAATTGTCAGTGGATAATACCTTTTTGGGAAAAACTTGATCCTCATTTATTGTTACAGAAGCAAGGACTTACTGCAATGAATCAAGTCTCCACCCACCCTCCTAAGAAATTTATCTACAATTTCACCGGCAAATTCAATAAAGAGAAATGTAGCTGATGAGCCATCTCCACGATGAAGTTATACTCTGCACTCAAGTTGGCTTTGCTTGGAGGGCTCCAAAATTTTGTACACTGAGTTTTTCCAACACAGCAGTTGCCTCAAGCTGGCTGACCTGCTGACTGTACCTCACGGTGAGAACGTGGGAGGCAAATTTCCAAAACTGTGCATTACTCACTCTCAGGTATAAAAATAGATGGGTATAAATCTTGGTCCAGCCTAGTGGGATTTGTGGCACTAATTTTTCTTGCTGTCCCCATAGACTGAAATATCCCTTAGAGGTAAGGCTCTCAATATCTAAATATGCTGTGGATGCCTCAGGCTCATCTGTACTTAGGAATGATTTGTTAAAACAGTGGCTGCTACATTAGGAATGGTTCATTCTAATTGTTTCTGACTGAAATTTTAAGAGAATGGTGAAAAAAAATCCCACCACCACCTTATTGCTGAGTTTGTAGTATGTCCAAGAAGGAGGTGCAAGTTCAGAGACAGAATAATCACAAGCTTTTCCCATGTCTACCTTTAAAGGTGTCAACCAAAGTATCTTCAGGGGGCTGATAAGGTAATAATATATTGAAAGTGTAAGGATTATGCTTCAGAGTGTAATTTGCTCACCAAGCACTGAGGGAATCACCTATCTGCATGGTTATTCTGCAACTGTGCATTAAAAGGACTTTATTGTTTTATGCTTTTCACGGTAGCATTTCCTTAAGCTCTTATTTTTATAAGTTATGCTTGGAAAGAGCCATATACAGGTTTTTCCAAAGCTGAGCAGATTCACAGACTGCAGAGTGTGGGCCCTTAATTCAGTGCAGGTAAACAAATTCCTATTTGCAATTTTTGTACCATTTCTTAATGCATGTGATCAATATGTTAAATCACATTTTTGCCTCAGTAAAGCCGAACAACTGCCACTAGAGGGTGGTGTTAATACAAAAAGAAAAAAGTAATTTGTAATGTCTTTCCAGAATAAAATTATTTATGCTCTCCTACACATTTATAAACATGGGATAGATTTTACTGCTCGAATCAGATTGGTTTGAATCTTTTTGGCTTTTTTCCCCATAGAGTGATTTATGTAGTTCTGTTTCAGCTGTAAACAGCAATAGCGGGTATCTTGTTTCATACCTTAATGTATATATAAATACAAAAATGGTGTTGTTTCACATTCTTTGTGAAAAACTTTTGCATTGAATTGCAAAGAAAAATCAATAATAGAGCTTTTGTGATTTTTTTTCTCTTGAAAACTACCCTTCACTTAAAATTCAACTTCATTTTAGAAAAGAGAGAGTGTTTTTTTTTTTCTCCCTTGCCTTTTTGTTCCCAAACAGTGGGAGAACTGCATATTATTGTTTACCAAGGCAGTGCAATCTGACCTGTTAAAGGCCACGTAGGGAGCATTAGGCTAGGGTTTAAGCCTAATGCAAAGTAATAGGATTTTGATAGTCTAATGTGGGCAGAACAACTGTGGTATATAACTATATATATACACATATGGTATAACAGTGTGTGTTTGTGTATATATATATATGGAATATGGTATAACCATAGGTGTATATATATGGTATCACCGTATATGTCTGACATATGGTTATACTGTACTAGCCAAAGTGGGGTTATACCACACCAACCCCAAGCATTGGAGGTGCAGGGATGGGGCAGTGCAAGGAATGGGTGGTTCAGACCCTGGGGCCAGTGTTGTGCTGCTTTGGGTCATCATAGAACCATAGAATGGTTTGTGTTGGAAGGGACCTTAAAGATCATCTAGTTCCAACCCTTTGCCGTGGGCAGAAACATCTTCCACCTTTCACAAGCCCCACAAGATGCTGCCGGCTGTGCTTGGGCACGAGGGCTGTGGGCAGGTGCCTGTGCCACTCCACCACTTCCCTTTGGCATGGAGACAGGGAGTTTTGCCAATGCTACAGCCTGCATCAACCCCAAGGAGAACCTGCAGGAGACAAAGGAGGGGTGTGAAAAATGAAGGGAAAGTGGAAGGGACACAAGGGTCAAAGAAGGAGCAGCCAACAGGGACCTTGTCTTCTCCCATCTATCCTCCAAGAGGAAGCACTTTCAGCATGATTTATACACACAGCGTGTACCTGCAGTATTTGGTTCAGGCTTGGGCTTGCTATGCCAGGGAGTCGTGTCGGAATGGTGCCCCCAGACCACCATAAACTGCTCCAAACTTGTTGCATCCTCTTGTGATAGCAGCCAAGCTTGTGCTTCACCTTCTGCCCCCAGGCTGGGTAATAACTCTGTAATAATATTTATTTTTCTTTCTTCCATGTTGGAAGGTAGCTGGATGAAAGACATTATCTAGCATTCAAACTTTTGGGCTTTGCTGTGCTCTGAAAAGCATTAGTGTGTGTTTCCCTGTTGCTGTTTTGCATCACTGCACACAGTGACTACGCTGCCAGGGAGGCAGTGTCCCGGGCTGAGCTGGAGTATTAAAATGATAATCACATGGGTTTTGGTGGTGCACAGTAAACGCATTCCTGCACCATGACGATGTTGAAATCATGGCTCTTCAGGGGACAGGACGGTGCCTTTCAACTGATATTGTGACTGCGTGTCTAGGATGCAAATGCAGCGTGTAAAGCCACCCCATGGTGAGCTGGATTAATGGAACAGATTTTCAATGACTCATTGGGAAGATGAAATTTTCTACTTGCATTTAATCTTAGCCTAATAAATCACTCAGGGGAAAAAAACCCACAAACCCCAGCAGTTAAATGCATGAAATTAGTGCTCTGATGTTGAGACAGATTTGGGTTTGGAGAACTGGCAGTGGTGGGAAGCTTGGCTGACAGTGTGGGGCTTGAGAGAACATGGAAGGAGTTTGGATTAAATTGCAAAGATAGATTGGGGTGGGAGCAACTGGAGGGCAGAGCTGTGTCCCCCAGTGGCTCCTCCTCCTTTGCATGTCGGCCACTGTATGTGTGGTTAAAAACTAATGATGTTCAGCCAGTTACTATAGTAATGCTGTGGCATGAGTTGTCATGGTGATGGAGCAGAATTTTTTATCACGTTCCTGCAGGAGGGTGATGGATGCCATAAATTTAGGGGCTCTGAACTTGACCATTTGCCTCATATCTTTTTCCTTGGTAGAAACACTTGCTCCTGCTGTAGTCAGTGAACATGTCCTCCCAGTACCATTACCTGATTTTTCATGTTCTGATGCTAAATTCTTCTTCCACATTTTTAAAGTTAAGAATACTCTGCTAAACCATAAATTGCTAAGTCTAACCTAATTATGTGCACTATTATTATACAAGGGGTGTTAATAAAACATACTTCTGCTACTAAGGCTGTTTCTGGACACTTAATTTTGTGTGTGTTTTTCACCTCTCTATCTGCCCACGATACAACTCAATAGGACATTGGTGCCCATTTGAAAAAGAAAATTAAGCTGATCTGAAGTCAATTTGCTTCAAATACTCCCATTTAGGACAGAATAATCACAGAATCAGAATATGCTGAGTTGGAAGGGACCCATAAGAATCATTGAGTCCAATTCTTAACCCTGCACAGGACCACCCCCAAGAGTCACACCACGTGCCTGAATATCATCCAAATGCTTCTTGAACTCCGTTAGGCTTGGTGCTGTGACTGCTGCCCTGGGGAGCCTGTTCTAGCATCTAATCACACCTTGGGTGAAGAATCTCTTTCTAATATCCAACCTAAACCTCCCTGACACAACTTCAGGCCATTTCCTTGGGTTCTATCACTGGTAACCACAAAGAAGAGATCAGTGCCTCCCCCTCCTGAGGAAGTTGTACCTGCAGCGAGGTCTCCCCTCAGTCTCCTCCAGGCTGAAAAAACAAAGGGACCTCTGCCACTCATACGGATTCCCCTCAAGCTCCTTCACCATCTTCATTGCCCTCCTTTGGACACTCTCTAACGTGTCTTCCTTCTATTGCAGTGCCCAAAACTGCACACAATAGTCAAGGTGAGGCCGCACCATTGCAGAGCAGAGCTGGACAATCCCCTTCCTCGACCGGCTGGTGATGTTTTGCCTGATGCCCCCCCCGGACACGGTTGGCCCTCCTGGTTGCCAGGGTGCTGCTAACTCATATTACACTTGATGTCAACCAGGACTCCCAGGTCCCTTTCCATGGCACTGCTTTCCAGCATCCCATTCCCCAACCTGTATGAACATCGAAGGTTGCCCCATCCCAGGTGCAGAATCCTGCACTTTCCCTTGTTGAACTTCGTATAGTTTCAACATGATGTATGTGCTGCCTTGGAAATGCATCTTTTTTTACAGTTTTATTTAAATTGCCTTTGCTTTCTCTTCTTTCTTGGGCTTTAAGAGCAGTACACTGTACTTTTCCCTTACTTATGAGCTACACATCAGCATAGCTCCTCCTTGACAGGACTTTTTTAATACAGGTTATCAACTGGACTAGTGCACTATGTGCAAATGATATTGCTTTGAGTGGTTCTTTCATTAGAAGAGCAGGTGTAATGCCTATTTGACCCCTATAGAAACCATTTCTTTAATTGTGCAAGAAAGTAACCTAGACTGCAGAGCACATTCAAGGATAGAAATGTATTCAGCTTGACTCAAGACGATGGCTATTTTAAAAGAACATAACATTCTGCTCATCAGCTGCTTTTAAAAATCCCTAAACCCTTCACTACATGTAAGTTTTTGTGCTAAACCATACACCCCAAAAAGAAGCCGATAAATGGCAGTTAGTGGTGTTTCACAACAGGGCTTACATGCTGCTTTCATAAACGCTCATTTGCAGTCACCGGGAAGTCCAGAAAAGGGAAAATCTGAATTTGGGTTTTACAACTTAATAGCACTGATATTTCGTCAGTGTCCTCAATTTCATTTTGTCCTCTGCTTTTTAACAGGTAAATTTGTGGTGTGCTAGCAGAACTGTATTAATTGCCAGGGAGCATAGGAACAGTATTGGCTCAGAAACATCTTGAGATTTGGACCTGTATAGTGCTTGGGTGGGAATCTGGGTTATGCTCGAGGCTGCGTCACTTTGGATTTAGGAAGTAATCACAGTGATATATGTTTTAAGTCCTTTTTGTTTTAAAAAGCTCTGATTGCTGCATGCTTCAGCATATGACTAATGTGAGGAGCTCCTGTTCACTGCATGCCCTGGAGTGCTTGTTCTTGTTCCTCTAAGCTAATCCCATCTCCTACAGCATCACTGTTGACATCTACCAAAGCTAGGGTGGTTTTTTCTTTTAGTTTCCCCCTTGTTTGGAGCTTTATAATTACCCCAATAAATGATGTTGAACTCATTAATCTAAGAAACTAGGTTTTCAGAAATTCACTGAGCTGTGTGGTTTCTATGTACTAATTTAAAAAAAAAAAAAAAAAAAAAAAAAGAGAAAAAATAAGGCCTCGGGGTGAGTAAACTCTCAGCTGCAGGTTGCTGAGCTACCACTGTGTGCTGGTTCTGGTTTTTCAAACATGGGTGTCTGTTAGAGATTAGGTACAGAGTTAAGTGGACCTGTAGTCGAACCTGGTGCAGCCCTCCTCGACTGGCTTCTTTACAGGCTTCTCAGAGCCATTAGTTTTACAAGAAGCTGTATGAAACATTAGGAAAATGTTGTTCCATCTCACTAAAGATCTGGGAGGTGTGACACCTCTGTTGTATTATCTCATTGTCCTACCATTTGTTGGTTTTCATGCAAAATATTCTGAGCTTTTGCTCACTTGAATCGCAAGTGCTGGACTTAAATCCAGAGTGTC